GGAGCCTGGAGGCGGGCAGGCTCACTGCCCAGGGTGGAGCATCCATGTGGGACCATGACAGTATCCACATAAACTATGCCCACACAAAGCAGGGGACACGTGAATGCCAATGTGACCAGAGATGAACATAATGAGCTTGGGAACAACATTCCTGGGAGGCAAGGATGTGCAGCACAAGCACCACCGCAACTACATCACCTGGCCTCCTTCCTGGCATCAGAATACACCCCAAAAATGAGGGTGCTCCCTGCACAGCCAGGGACAGAGCACATGGTGGGAGGGGGGAGCAGGCAGAGCCAGGCCCCCCCTCTCCCCGTGCAGGCAGGAGGCCACGCACGTGGCGTCCTGGATCAGGCAGAGCCTCCTTGATGGGACATGATCATCTCCCCCACACGTGCTCCCGCTCCTTCCTTCCAAGTCACTGGCGCTGCAGGTCTAGTTTTTTCCAGATTATCTCATTTTTGGCACCTGAGTTCAAAAACTGGGACTCTGCCTTTCCCACTCAGCCCCTCCATTTGGTATCTCGGGCTGCATGCACTTTCCCATTAAAAATAATAACAAGAACAAAAAAAGACTACCAGTAATCTAGCCCAAATCTGTCAGCTGGTTTTAAGGAAACATTTCCCTACAGCTTTAATCTCTTTGTACAGCTAAAGAGCAGTGCAGCTCTGGGAGCTGGAAATGGTGACTCACTGCATCTCCACTCAGCTCTTCATCCCAGGAAGCTTCTCACTGTGTTAATAGTTGTCCAAATCCCTCTAACCCAGCTCCAGCCCAGCAGACCCACACTTGGTGTCACTCTTGGAGGACAGCACAGAAGAAAAGTCACCCCAGGGCTTGCTGGGTGTCCATGGTAGGATGGAGGCTCAAGGCTGGGGGGCCTCTGGGCTGCATCCCCCACCACAGCTTCCTAGCACAGAGCAATGGGCCCCTGGCTTACACTAGGATCTCAGTAGGTATCAAAGTTTCCCTCTGGTGTTTTTTTTTATTTAATTACTTTTTTATTGCTTTAATTTTAGCTCAACTCTAAGGGAGTTCTTTTCATAAGGGTTCAAGCTGGAAAAAAGAGTGAAACAGCTGAATTACTTCACTATCCTGATATCACCCTGCTTGTTCTGCAGCAAAAATAAGAAGGGGGGCCCTGCTGCCTTTTAAGAGGTACCTGGCACCTTGTGTAGCTGTCCCAAAGTGCAGCATCAGGCAGTGATGGGACAAAGATTCCAACCAAGTTGAAAGCTCAGAGATGGTTCAGACTGTTCTGCACATCCCACAGCTATTGCAGAGGAAGGTCACATCCCTGCTTTAGGTGAATGTTCCTGTTATTCATTGTATCTGCCCTGATCTATCTAAACAAGCTCCAGAGCATCCAGAGAGGACCACTGGGCAGGAGCAGGCAGCAGTGCTGTGGGGCAGAGCCTGCCTTGCTGGCTGCGTGCTGTCCTCAAGGCCTGGGCACCCACAGCAGCTTGTGTGGAGATAAATAGGATCACCAGATCAAACCAGCTTTCACTTCTCATCTAGGATTTCTTCCAATCAATCACCTGAGATCCCAGAACCAAGCCTTCATCTCAAATACAAACAGGTTCAGATGTGGGAGGGGCTGAGACAGACTGTTAAACCAAAATGGAAAACATTAACCTTTCTGGGACCAACGATGCCTTCCCCCCTCTCCAAGCCTGACCAGCACCACGTTGCAAGGCATGAGGAACAACAGAAGACCAGGACATTCAGCCACACAATGTCAGCATCACTGACAGGAGGCACCAGTGGAAGGGGATGCTGATGCAGGAGGACATGGGAGGATCAGCCATGATAGACTCAACATGGCTCTTCCTGAGGGTTTGCCTGTCCCTCAGCCAGCTCAGAGGATCCCTCAGGATCTCTCCTTTATGAAGGGTTGGGGGATGTCTCTGGATGAAGCACTGCTGCTCCCACAATGATTCCCTGTTCCTCTCCTTATAGGGAGGCACCAGCTCCTGCCACACTGGCACAGGCACCACACACCCTGCTCAGACCTGCCCTGCCAGCACAGGAGAGGAACATCCTCCTCTGCCAGCTCCATCCTGGGCCAGTGCCCCGGGACTGGGAGGGAACTGCTGCCCACAGCAGGAGCTCGGCAGAGGTCACCACCACCCACGGGCAGTCATATTTGGATATTAAGATTTGGTAAGTCCTACATAGCAAAGGCAGCCTCCCACAGTGCCTGAGGCTGTGGGTTCAGAAACAGCCCTTCCCCTCACCTTGTTATGTCTGTTTTTAGTTGCTTGTGCCTCTTTCTGCCCTCTGTGTGTTCTGCCCTTGCCCACACCCACTGCACAGCCCAGCTCAGATTTCTCTGGACAACTCCAGCTATAGCAATCCACATCTCCTGGTCATCCCATCACCTTTCCTTGTCCCAGCTGGGAGCACCAGCCAATTCAGAGACACGAACTCCAGCTTTGCCCAGGATGCCAGTGCAGTGGGACATCACATTGTGATGGGCACCATGTCCCACCTCCCTGTCACCAATGGCCCAACTCAACGTTACAGCAGCAGAAGCAAAGCCAGTGCTCTCCTGGGAGTGCAGGAGAGCACAGTGACTCAGAGAGGGAGAACAGGGACAGGGAAAAATATTTTTTGCCCCATCTAGACATCTCCTGCCCTCCTCCCACCTTGGGAACCACAGCTCCAGAGCAGGCTCAGCCCACACCAGCAGCCACACCACCTTAATGAAGTTCAGGGCTATAATTACTCCTTTCCTTTGTGGTTTGTTCTGAACCGCCAAGCTCTCTGTGACTGCTCTTCTCCTCCAACCGGCCTCTTCCTGCACAACATGCTCTCCTGCATACCTTCAGCAACGGGACAAGGGGTTAAGGGCAAGGCAGCTGAGCCTGACAGCTGGGGAAGGCAAGTCCCAGCACAGCACTGAGGGCAGCTGGAGGCAGCTGCCTGCACCCCCTGCTCAGCTGTTTGCATTGGACAGCAACTGAGCAACAGGACTGAGGGGCATCCACTGCCATGGGAGCACCTCTTGGGTGACCCAAACACCAGGAGAAGGACTTGCCATGTGTTGTCTCTGCTGCAGACATCAGAGAGCCAGCATTTTCACTCTGGGGGTTGTGGTGGGGCCAGAGCTGCAGTGGAGCTGGTGAGCATTGGCAACATGCCTGCACTCATCCATGGGACGTGCTGAGGGTCCCTGTGCAGCCTCCCCAAATCTCTCTGTGTGCTTACACCAGCGACAAGGAGAGATGCCATCCACCCACCCAGCATCACCTCAGGGTGGGTTTTGTGGACCACAATGGGAGGAGCACCCCACAATGGGGTCCTGTGTGAAAGCAAGCCCAGGCAACCTCAAGTGATGGCAATGGAGGAGGTGGAGATAAGGAAGGGGACAATTGCTCTGGTCTGTGGATTCATGCTGACACAGAGGGAAAAGGAGACAGAGCCCTCACAATCCCTACAACTTTGTCTCCTGGCTCTTCATGGCAGTGGAGTTGGAACTAGATGATCTTTAAGGTCCCTGCCAAGCCAAACCATTCTGTGATTCTGTGACTTTTGGAGACATTTGGACTGAAAGCCCCTTTTGTACCAGGACCAAGGCTGGCTCATGCTGCAAGGCAGACTCCAGACAGCTGGGCTCATGGGTAACACTCATCCCAGCAGCTGTTCTCCCTCTCCCCCTGCCCAGGGCAGCTGGAGGATTCAGCAGCTTTAGATGGTCTTCTGCTCTTAAAGTGCCCAGCCATCCTCAGTTCAAAGCCTGGGAAGCTCAGAGCAGCCCAGACCCAGTAGGACAAGGCTGAGCACCCACCCATGGGGGAAGATGGGCCTCCTGGGCACCACACACATGGCAGCTGGGGACAAAAAAGGGAGGCTCAGCCAAACCCTATCCTTGGGCTGGGGCTCAGAGCCCAGCCATGCCCAGCTGGAGATGGACTGACCTGTAACCTGCTGGAGGTGTTGATGCACTCTTTAAAACCCAGCTCAGAAAAGCCACGCCTAAGCCACACACAGTGAGAGAAACCCACTTGAGTCCTGTGGGTTTGATATCAGCTCCACTGCTGATTCCTGATTTGATTTCAGACCCTGCCCACACCGAAACTTGCCCTCTCCACAGACCCTGTACTGCCCTCTGACTGCAGGGCTGCACCCAGGGAGAGGGGATGGAGCAGGACAGAGGACCAACCCATGGTGGGGTGAGACAAGGGCACACGGCCCAGCTCTGGGGCCAGGCACAGCCCTCCCAGGTCCTGGGAGGGACCACATCATCCACAGCCCCCGGGGAAATGCACAGGGTGGGGAGGGGAGGTGGTGCCTTGCATCCCTCACAGGAGAGAGCTCGTGGGTGATGGGGAATGTAAAAGTAATTAACAGGTCAGAAGAGGAAAAAAAAAAAATCTCCTAAACATTCGGGAGAATAAATGACGGCTGGCGGGGGAGGGAAGATGGCTTTAATACAGGATTAATTGAAAACAAGATAGAGCTAATATAAGCCAGGGCTCCAGTTTAATAGTGGCTCTGGTCCATGATGTTATTAGACTTCGGCTCCAAGGTCAATAAAACCCTGACTCCTGCTAATGAAGAGGCGGTTTCTGCCCCACAACCATAAGCAACAACACTATAAACAACAAGCCATCCCAACAATGCTTCCACAGCCCCTGCCCCTCCTGCACCCCAGAGCCTTTCCAGGATGCTGGGTGGGTGGGTCTGCACACAGGGCCTGAGCTGGCAGAACTGTCTTTTTCTGCAAGCACCCGGGCTCTTAGCATTTTCTCTTTTCTTTCCTTATAGGCTTGATGGCATTTCTTATTCAAACTGACAGCTCTTTCAGCCAGGATAAACCCCAGGATAACAGCTATGCATGCAGACACATCTGAGCACAGATCCAAGAGCAGCCTCGAAAGGCATCACCAGCAGAGCTGACAGAGCAGCACACAGTGCTTGGCAGCTCTGCATGGGGACCTGTGGCAGGTACCAGCCAGGGTCTCACCCCAGCAGCTGCCCAGAGCTCTACTCACCTTCTTCTCTCTTTGGTGGGCTCTCCATCGGCACCGGCTGCAGCTTTGGCTCTGCCTGGGGAGGCTGGGCGGGCAGGGGAGGCTCTGAGCTCTCTACCTGCCGTGCTGGTGGGGCTGAGACCTCAGCAGCTTTTGCTACCTGGATTTCCACGCGCTTGGTGGCCGTGTCAGGCGCGGGAGCGCTGGCTGTCTCAGCTCTTCGCTGCGGCATCTCCGGGATCTTTGATGCCGGCGCCTCCACCCTCCGGAGACCCGGCTCCTGGGGCTTGCCGAGGGTGATCTCAGTCCTCCTTGGGGTGGGCTCGGGGGGTTTGTGACCCAGCACATCTGCTCGTTTGAGGCCAAACCTTGACAACCCTGAGGTGGAGTTCTCCACCTGCTTGGATGAGATGTCAATGGAGATTTCTGTTCTTCTGGACACTGGCTCGGGCAGTTTGGGTCCAGAGAGCTCCACTCTCCTCAGAGGGGGCTTGGGTGATCTTTGGACTGTGGGTTCTGCATGTCGGGCGGATGGCTCCGAATTCCTGGCGCCAAGTTCCTGAAACTTCTGCGTGGAGCTGGACACGGTGGACCTGAGGAGGGTGTTCGGGGCCCGTCTTTGTGGGGTGGAGGAATTCGAAGACTGATCTACCTCCTCGACCTCAAAAGATCTTTTCAGAGCTGAAAAACATGAAAAGGAGTTCAGAATTTAGTTACCATCCACCTGAGCACCTCCAGAGACACTTAAGACATTGTGCAAGTCTCATAACTCCACTTCTGCTCCTTCATCCAAGGGTTCACAACCCATTTAAGCAGGTGGGTACTGAGGGCCACACTCTTCAGACAAGTTATAAACCCATAACAACATTGGAACCAGGGCCAGGAAATTCAACCCCAAAGCAGAAACTCTGCCCTCCATCCCACCCACGCCCCACAAATGCTCAGAGGGGAGCAGAGGGTCCCATTATAGTATGGCAGAGTGAAGAGAGCACTGGATTTGGGGGCAGCCAGAAATCCACCTCCCAGTGCCTCCCTTTCCCTCTCACATCCAAAGGATGCACAGGTAAACACAGGCTTCCCACTGCCAGGAAAATCCAAGTTGGGACCAGGAAAACAATCCCAGAAGAGCACCAAATCCACATAAATGCAGCAAGAAAACGGAAGGTGGCAGCCACAGAAGCTCATAACCTTAAAAACAAACCTGGAGGCTATGTGAGCCAAAGACTGAAGTGCCTTGAATACATGGATGTGAGACCCCAATACAAGGGGCCAACTGGGCCCATGAGACCCCTGGGCTCTGCACAGGCCCCAGCCAGATGGAAATAAAAGGCTGAACGCCACAAGAAAGGAGGGAATGCAGAGAACCACTGCTGGACCTCCATCTGAACACCACAGGCTGCAAACACCCCCTGTGCCCCACAGCACCCAGTCAGGCACAGCCCTGGGGTCCCAAAGGAGTCTCCACGAGGTGAGGCTGAGCCAGCGTGCTGATGGCCTTGGCATGATGACAGCCAGGCTGCTAATGAGCAGCACGAGCATCGTTAATGAGTTCACCCATGCTCTACATCAAAAGGATAGCAACAGTGAGATTTAGCCTCTAAAAACCTGGCCTTGAGATCCCGCAGGACGCCACAATCCAGGGGAGAGACCGGAGCACAGCCTTCCCTCGTCCCAGGATGTCCACCCACCCCTGGGGTGGAGCTGGAGCAGGGCCACCACGCAGGAAGCATCTCTGCTCTGACCCCCAGGGCAGGGCCTGGGGACGTGGGGACCCTCCATGCCTCGGACACATCCGTTCTCTGGAGAGGAGCCATCTGTCCCGGCTGGGACCAGCCGGTGGGACGAGGGGGGCCGTCCACGTGGCAGCCACCCCGGCTCTGCTGTGCCACGGGCTGTGAACACAGCTGCTGACACCAGGCAGATGCAGCCACCCCTGTCCTGCCAGCAGGGGCTGGGGACAGCCATGGTCACGTCCCGTGGCAGCAGCACAGGGAGTCCCAAAGGAGATGGTGAGGAAAATGGGAAAACGGAGCTGGAGCTTGTGTGTCAGACAAGCCACACGATGGGGGGGCTCACAGGGGTTAAAGTGTGAGGATACAGCTTTGGGCTGCTTTCCCTTTCTTATGGGAAACCAAAAATTGCTCAGTATGAATGTCAGGCTGCAAAACCAGCCTGGATGGGCACTGCAGAGCCTGGGACTGAGAGCCTTGGACAAAGAGCCTCCTCAGGATGCTGTGTATCAGTGACCCAGCAAAAGCCTCTCTGTGCTCAGGGACAGACATGGGCAGGCACACACACACACACACACACACACACACACACACACACACACACACACACACACACACACACACACGTGTCCCCCTGCTGTGGTTCAGACCCTGGCAAGGGAACTGCTGGGAAGTGATGGGTGTCTGGAATGTGCTCCCAAGGAGGGAGTCCCAGCTGGCATGGGCAGGGAGGGATGCACAGAGCAATTCAATCTCTGTGTTAACCTGATGGGAACAGCATCACTGCTGCTTTATGGCTACGGAGAGAGGAAAGCACAAAGCACGACATACATCTTCCACCTTCTAAAGCCCAGGAAGGGTCCCATGAAGGGCACCATAAAATGGTCTATCCTGCATCTCAGAAATATTTAGACATGGGTGGAAGGAGGGAGGGAGGCAGTAAAGAAAACTAAAGATGCTTTTCCTCCAATTTATCTGCTCTGTTGTTTGACTTCCACGGAGCTCTCCCAGCCGTGTCATTACCCGCTTGCAGAGGTGAGATGCTCTCTGCAGCAGTTCCTGCCCTGCTGTCAGTGCTTGGCACAGCTTGTGCTTTGCAGGTCTGTGTCCAAGTCTCAGTTCTCAGCACCCCCAGAATAATTAACCTAAAAAAAGTCCCACACTTGAGAGCTTTTTCAATGTGTTTAAACTCTCAGGTCTCCAACAGTGGGCTGGAGCTCAGAGTTTCCAGCACAGGCTTTGCTATAGTTTTTCTTCTCCATCACACACTCAATCCAGAAACTAACATTTTAGCTATTTTTTTTCCAAAAAATCCCAAGTTTAAAACAATGCACCGACCAAGCCCAGTTTGCATTTTGCAGGAAAACAAAGAGAGCGGAAGGGACGACCCGACGGGGAGCCTTTCCCGGCCCTGAGCAAAGCTGGGTGGGCAAGAGCAGCAGAGGACACGGCCCAGCCAGGCACTGCCAGCTCCCTGATGGATGGGATCACAGTTCTGTCCATGTCAGGCTCTTAAAACCTGCTCACCACTCCTCTAGCCAGCCAACTCTTCTCCTACAGCCCTATAACCTCCTGACAGATGTGTCTTGAGCAACAGTTTGAGAGTAAATGCTCTCAAGGAACTCGACAGCAAAAGAAACACTGGCAAGCACTTTTCCTTAATGGACATTGCCTTGGAGATTTCTCAGTATCAAGTGGTTCAGGGACTTCTTTTTGACCCACTAATGATCTCTGGATACAAACAGCCCTGCTGATCTCCAGGGTTCATTGCATGAACTATGTCCATCATCTCCGCTCCTCTGAGCTCCACTGCCACTTCCTAAAGAAATGGCAGGCCACTCAATGGCAACACTGACCCACATGGCCCTTTCTTTTGACTTCAAACCCCTCAAACTGCCCCAAGCCCATGGTAAACCTGCCCAATGTCACAGCGTGGTCTTTCTGGAGCACAGTCAGCCCTTTCCCTTATCGAAGGGTTGGACTGAATAAAACACCCAAAAATGGCTTTTTTCCAGGTCTTTCTGGGCCCTGTTGCAGAAAAGAGAAAAATGTCAAAGCCCAGACACAAAGGGGTTCAAAAAGCCTAAGGGAGAACTGCAAAACCACGATTACAGCTGCAGGAGACCTGAGCCATCCAGATAACACTTCCCATGTCAGCGCTGCACTCCCAATGGGCAATAAGTGGGTACTGAAGGGCTGGGCAAGGAATTGCCACCCCAAAGAAGGGTTAGAAATGGCTCAGCAGTTTCTGACAGCATAAACATGAGGACCCCCAGGTCCCAGTGGCACTTCCTCTCCAGCAGTGCCACTGACTTGCCTGGGGACAACCTGAGAGCTTTCCCACCCATGGCTCTCTGCAGGGTGTGGTGTCCATCTCGTGCCTCTGGTTACACAAGGATTTCAGTGCCCAGCTTGTCCTGCTAGCACATTTGGTCATTGCCCTGAATTCAGTGTGGTCTGGAGAAGGTCAAACATCCCAGGCACGAGAAAGGAGAAGGACTGAGAGCAACAGGGTTTGTGTTTCCACCTCTGAGACAGAGACCCACTGCCATAACCATGATCCTTAGGAAAGTCACCTTCAGCAACAGTGGGAGGGACCAAGCATGGCTGTAGTTCCCCTGCTCTGCATCACCTCTCTCCTCCTTGCAAGAGAAGAGGGATGGACCTCAGGAAGCAAAACAACTCTCAAAAAGAGAGAAAAAAAATGTATAAATAGCCTGTCCTGCCCAGAGCCAGGAAAGGAAAGTAAACAGCCTTTGCTCCAGATGACCCTCCTCCCAGACTTCCTGCAGGGAAGTGTCCATATTCCTCACAACAGGAGCCGAAGACAAGGCAGTGCTGAGGGTCTCTCACCCCGTTCCCACCCGTGTGGTGATGCAGTCCCACACCAGCAGTCATGGCTGATGCTCCAGGTCCCCGTGGGTCCCTATATCCCTGACAGCCCAGGCCAAGCTGTCCCTGCCCCGAGCAGGGTCTGGGCTGGCCATGCTGCAGGGTTATCCCCACTATCATATTTTCCAGGGGATTTTTGGTGCTAGCAGGGCTTCCCCAGACCCACCAGCAGCAGGGAAAGCAGTGGAGGTGGTGAGCATCACCCTTCCTTCTCTTCCTCTGGAAGTGCAGGTCCATGGGGCCCAAGCACAGAACGGCACAACCATTGGCACACGCTTCCTTTTAACCGACTCCAAACCAACTCCTGTATCTCTGGCTCATTGTTGAAGGTGGTGGTTCCCCTCACACAGCAGGGAAAACCCAAAATCCCCTAAAATGAGATTTCCAAGAGCTTCCTGTCAGATGCAACCTCTGCCACTGCCAGCCTCCACCCACCACCATCATCTGGGCTGGGTTCTGCTCACTGTGGTGTCCCTTCGGGGACCAGACCTTGCAAACCTCTCAAGGTCCTGGAGTTGTGCTCGGCATTGTGCAGCCATGGCTCTGCTCTGCAGGGCCAATTCTAAAAATACCACTGTTAATCCTGCTGGATGAGGGAGCCACTGGCTCTGCTGGCTGTACACAACGGCACCTGCTCCTGAAATCCCCCAGTCTTGACCCAAACATGGTCCCTGCCAGACAGGCACTTTGGGGCAAGAAATGTGTGCCTTCATCCCTGGCTCAAACACTCCCCCAGCAAGCACAGAGCCTGAGAATGAGCAGAACATTTCTTTCTCTTTCTGTTTCATGCAGCAGTGCTGGGGATGGCTGCACAGTGTGGTCATTGTGTCCTCCCGGCCACCCCATGGCCAGGCACCAGCAGGTCACACGCCATCAGTTAAAAACACTCTTTAGGGACCTTGTAAATTGGGAAGAGAGGGCAGAGGTCTGGTTCAAACCCCAGGAGCTCATACAACAGTCAAAATCCTTCTAGAGAAGTCACAAGCGAGTGGTATGGCTGGGGACTCCCGTCTACACGCTGCTCTCCCAGAAGATGAGTCTCTCCTTGGGGGTCCTGGC